CATACAGCATTCCCAATATAGTTTTCGCCAATGTTAGCGCATTGAAAAACCGTTACGTAATTAAAATCCGTTTTTTTCCGAGTTCGCTCACATAGACTAAATTTTATTACCGAACCGAAGCAGACTTTGCTGGTCGCACATGCCAAAAACCGAATTCAATGATCGGTTTTTCACATATCGATGCGCCTGGCTGTATGCTACGATCTTTTGTGCTGTATTTCTGAAATAAAAAATTTTCATTTATATTTTATCAATTTATCAATCATATTTATATTAAATAATAAATACTTGCAAACACATGTAATTCATTTCATAAAGGGTATAAAGCTGCGTGCTAAAGCAGAAGACGGCACATTTTTGAATGCTCATGCAATTTACCAATCAGTTGCGTATTTTTAACGGAGCTAAAAGCATGTTTTATCACTGTTTTTAAACACATTGACATTTCGCTAGCAATTTCAATAAACTAATTTAAATACAAAGAAATATAGAAATTTATTTGAGTTGGTAATTATATATATTGCTTCTTATATAAAATGTATTTCAATAATATTGTACACCAAAAAGTTAAAGTTAAAAGAAGCGTTTAAACTTTCTCATATATGTACATATGTACATACGTATATGTGATATTACACAGTGAGACATATTCATACATATCCAAGTACGACAAGTGCAGTGAATATTAAGAGGATTATTCAAATAAATTGTTTAAAAAAAAAACATTTTTTATCAAAGTATTTTAATGGATTAAAGTTCTATATCAAGATCAAAGCTCACGCGATCACTTTGCATCAACTTTATACCCAAACAAATTTTACTTGGACTGACCAAAAAAAACTACATTTCCACATATTTTTATACAAATCTTTATTTTCGCCTTCAAAATAGAGATGAAGGCTTCTGAGCCAATAAAAGTTTGCCAATGATAGTCTGCAGTGCCTTCAGCGAATTTTGGTTTTTTCGAGTTTGGCACATTTTTGCAGCGCTACTTGTATTTGTTAGATTTTGCACTGTTTCGGCATCATATACTTAAACGCGCGTCTCGCCAGGGGGGGTTTCAAGTCAAGAATTTTTTTCTTAAATATGGATTGAGTAATTTTATTCGGACCTTTTGTACATTATTGAGCATACTTTCGACAATATAGGGTAATTTTTTCATGCAGGAATATTGAAGCATAAGCCGGTAACAAAGCTTCCCCCAGAACGTCTTGATAAAAAAACAATTTGCGGTGTTCACCATAACTCTGCTGGAAATTATACGAAAAAAACCAAGAAAAATTACTTAAATTATGATTAAATCAAAAAGGCGGAATACCAGAAATAAAATACTTTTAAATAACGTGCTACTAAATTTTTTTGCTATTCTTTGTTGTAAATGCGTAAGTACGATAAGTAAATGAAATAAATACGCTCACTTTGTAGGGCATAAGGTTTGTACATATATATGCCTGTGCGTTTTGTGCCAATTCCTATGCTTCCTCTCTAGCTGCTTATAGGTATGTTGTATTGTTGTTTTTTGTTTAAAAATTCGCGCCCGTTTCGTCTTATTTATGTTTTGTGCTTAGGTTTCGCGCCCGGTTGTGTGGATTTTTGTTTATTTAAAATGCTTATTTGTTTGTTGATATATACATATATATATACATGTATATTAGCACTGTAACTTTGGTGAGTTTTGTGTGTTCTCTACATTTTTACATTTATATATTTGTATATAAGTATATATATATTTTGTTTTTATATCAATGTATATTTTTATTTCATTGCACTGGGCCTATATGCATTTATTGTATGTTGTTATTCTTTAATAATTTATATACATATGTATATATGTATATATATTTATATATATACACTTTTTTTTTCTTTTTGAGTCACTGCACCATTTTGAAATTTTTTGCCTTAGTGCAAAATTTTGTTGCTTTTTAGTTGTACCACTGCACTGCACTTTGTTGTTATATGCATATCTTTTGTTAACTCAATTTGTTTTTTTTTTTTTTTGGGTTTCTGTTTCTTTGTCACCACTATAATTATTTATTGTGTTTCTTAACACAGTTTTTTGTAAAAATCCGCAGGTGCCTTTCGGTAAGGCTCGAAGGACCATGAGTAAATAGATACACAATTTATTGGGGATCACCCACCACTGCCTTAGAATTGAAACTCGCTTTATTTTAAAGAAAATCCCGTGTTTCGATATATAATAAGTTTTGCTTTATTCCGGAATATATAAACAACGTCTTTCGATTTTGACGAAATTAAAAAAGATAGAAAATAACTACGTAACACTCAGGATCGCTGTTGTCGACAAAAACGAATAAAAGCAGCAAACAGTATCCGTGTTGATTGAAGCGAATGATCGAAAAGTGGTTGCGGAGTGATGTCGATCGCAGTAACCGTAGCACACCGAAACAGAGACGTGTTGAATGTTAAATGGTCGAGTGTGGTTTTGCGAAAAATCCCGGCTGTTCTTTTGTCCATCCTTTTTGTTGAGTTGGGTAGTGTACAGGTACGGGGTATTGTGTTGAGTGCGAGTGTGGTGTCATCGACTATGATGTTTTCCAATTTGTGGTATGGGAAGTATTAGGGTGCGCCAGTAGCTCATTTAAATAATCTGCATTTAAAACGTTAATCATAAAATCATGATATTTTATTATGACTTGTATTGTTTCTTTGTTTTTAAAGTTTATTTTTTATTTATATATTATTTTATTATTATATATTTTTAAAAATTTTATAAAATGAAGACACGTATTTAGTGATATATATACATATATACGTGATATAGCTATACTCGGGAATCGAGCACCTAAAAAATAATATCGAAATGCAAAATACCCAAGAGTTATTTTTAAAATACCCAATACATTTTCTTCCAACAGTGGCATAATTGACAATGTTATAAAAAATGTGTGTATGTTTTGCCAGTTAAGAAAATAAAAACTAAAGAAGTGCATTAAGCAATCGCCTAAAAGGCAAATGAGTATATTGAAAACAAGCACTAAAATTATAAGTTCAATGAGAAAATGTTCTCTGCCGTAAAAAGTGAAAAAAAATGTTATGCCAAACCTACGAGCTTATTTTTACGATGAAAGATCTTTTTATGAAAACCGTAAGCTTTTAGGAGGCGCCTTAAAACCTATAGAACTACATATTGATTGCATGAAAACCTCTTATCTGTTTAGCTTGGTCAAAAATAAGCGAAAGTGTGCTTGTGAGTCTACTATTTTATGCTGATTGTAGGCGTAACTTTATAACTAAAATATTTCTCTTGATTACAAATTTTAAGAGCAACTGCGTTTATTTTACTGTGATCACAATTACTTCGTTATTTAAAAACTACTGCTATTATAGGTCAACAACTAATTCTAACACTATAAATAGTTATATGTGCATAACTGAAAATATTGATATAACCTATATGAGTTATATGCACTACCAACGTTTGAGCGAAAACATGATCGCAGTTGTCAATTAAATCAGCAATTTGATACCAAAACATCTAGTTTACACTTTCTCGGAGAAAAAAGTTATAGTTCGAATTTGGTGCTAAGCAGATAATGTCGCTCAATATAAACACACATACATACATCAACAATTTTTAGTATTTTCTCAATTCAGAAAAGTTGAATATATTTATAAAAAAAATTGTGACAGCTGTTTAAACAAATTTAGTGCTTATTAAAAAACGAATATTTATTTGAACAGCTCAAGTGCTGAATTAGATTAGTAAACAATTTGGGTTTATGATTATTTAAATTTTTGCGTTATTATTTATCAGTTAAGCGATTTTAATAGAAATTTAGTTCAACACACAAAACTGACCTCTTTTAATAAAATGGCAGAGTTGGATCGATGCACAAACCTACATAACTCTTTTTCAAACATTTCTCTGTTTTTAATTCTTAGAAATTTATTCAAGAATACGCCGACACTTCATTATCATTTTCCATATTCATATATTTTTTCACAAAAAACTTCTAGTATTCGTGGGTTATCGATATCAATAAAGTCTTTATACCTTTATTTGATATAAACTAATTTATTTTTTATCCAAATTTACCGTTTTGTCTGAGTTTTAGGGTATTGGAAATTGAAAATTTCGTATTCGGTAATTTACTTATATTACACCACAGTGTAGATAGATTAAATAAAGGTATGCACCGCGACCTATGGTCTATTGTGGCCACAGTGTTATAATAGGTATAACAAATGCGTAATGACAAGAAAATTATTTTTATTTATATCTACGCACACTCGACAGACTTTAATTTTTTTTACTTTACTAGTATAAAGCTTTCTTAAAGTATGCTTAAACTTAAAATATTTTTAGCACCCCTACTGACAGTGTGAAAATGGGTGAAATCGGTTAATAACGCCGCCCATTACCCATATAACGGTTTGATTAAAAATACTAAAAGTGCGATAACTTATTTAATAAACCATTCAGAGACGTTGACTTTTACACACAGAATGGTTATTTAAGTTTTTCAGAAGCCAAAACATAAATTGGCCAAGGGGCGTGGCACGGCCCACCTTTAGCGAAAAACCCATATCACAGGATCTGTTCGACCGATTTCAACCAAATGGTATGTAACATTCCTCTCACATTCCCATGTTGATGTGTGAAATTGGATTACAACCACGCCTACTTCCCATATAACACAAATTTCAATTCCATCTGATTCTCTCACTTTCTAATATGCAAATAAAGCAATAATTAATGTATCGTTATTAAATGAATAATGCCTTTAAAGTATACCCCCTTATGACCAAAAATTGCCCAAACAGAACCAAAACTGTTCAAGCCCCTAGGTACCGAATATGTGGACCGCAGTACATATACTCGACTTTTCACTGAAAATATCGGTTAACTTTGGTTCGGAGTTGATATCACATGTATATACCTCATTTTTAATATAGTTTTAGCTGACGCGCACTAAAATATAGCAATAAAACTAAGTCTAGGTATATGGTCTTCAATCTATATAAGACAAGAAGCTACCAAATTTGATTGTAATTTATTCCCAAATTCATCGAATAATAGATGTTTAATTCTTTCGCAACATTTTTTATTATAAAGTTTTGCCAACAACTGACCCGGCTTTCATCCTTGCAACTTACAAGAGTATAAATGTACGAACTTAGCCTCTTCTTACTTGTTTCAATTTAAATATGAGGAAATAAATAAATTGAAGGCAGTTAAAAGCGCCTTAAGTAAACATTAAATATATACTTTTAGGTCTACCTACTATAGAAATATGATCAAAACAAACTTGTTTTGAGAAACAGATACAATATATAGTTTTTAGACACCAAAGAATGTCGCATGACATAACTAAAACACATTTTTGAATGTATTCTCGCTGAAAATTTCATTGCTCCTAAATGTATACTAAATATTCCAATCATATCATAAATTTTAATTAGTATAGTACAATGCTCAGTACAAGCAGATAATCAAATCGGTCAAGAGTTTCGAAAATTTCAAAATTATGACTAATAATTCATGCAAAGGCCTTACAAGCTCTCTGATAACTGTTCAAACAAACAGCCAAGTGAAACTTAAGATCTGTATATTCGACTGAACGAACTCAAGAAGGAACAACACGATTTTTTATTTATTCATATATTTAGTACTTGCAGCTCGGAAGTGCACCAGGGGAGTAGTCAGAAACAGCTGTGAAACCGTTAAGAGCAGCAAACAATATCAATAAAAAATACATACATACATATGTATGCATGTATGTATATAATTTAATTGGAAAATATGTTTATACCGCTCAACACTCGCGAAACGAACAGCAAAAGTCCACACTCAAGGTATATTTATGCTCAAAGAGCAGCAATAACTGAGCTAACAACACAAGCACACATGTATAATGTAATCGCTCCAAAATGTCGACATTCTCACAGCTATTGTATTTATAGGGAAATGAAAAACATTCTGTAAATGTCGTTGACGAGACGAGGCGGCGGTTGAGCAGTGCCTTCCAAAGCGGTTCGAAAACTAGCTGGAGAACCACACGCTAAGCGGATAAAACACAAAAAATGCGTCGCCCGAAATTTTCGTTAAAGAAATATTTTTATTTTACACTCTTTTGTGCGCTACTGCTGATATTTGGATTAAATTTGCGGTAAGTCGAAATATACGCGCGCACACACGCATTTGCTAATTAAACCGTTCAACTTCGAACTACTTTTAGTGAACATGAAATTTGGAAATCGAAAAGCGCTTCACCACAACGACAAGCGCGTTCGCAAGACGAACAAGCGGCGCAACCGATGCCGCCTTATACGCATAGCGCCTTTACTGTTGCGTCGGGCGACGGCGCAGCGGCGCTGAACGCACACGTCGAAAACTCGGGCGTAGCGCCTGCGCATAGCACACACAACGTGCCACTTGTCAACGCTGGAAATAATGAATTGAGCGAACAACAGCAGCAGCAACATTTGCATCCAGGACAAGTGCCATTAGAAAACACCGCCGCACGTCTTTGGTTCTTCCGGCAGGGTGAGTACTATCCAAAGCCAGCGCACGCCACGCCAACGCGTACAGGACAGGGTAAACGTGGCAGTTATGTTGGTGATGTTGGTGGCGCAGGCGGTAGTTTGTTGCGTGGCAAGAAGCATGATCCACGCGGTGCTGGACTTTTTCCCTATCAAAACCCGCATAGTGATCGCATCGTCAATCAGTTGATGTATGTGCCGCCGAACTATGAGAAGGTGCGCGCCAGCGGGCGAATGAAAATCATATTGCTTTACAATGGACTTGGTCCATGGAATGTGAAGCAAGGTAACCGCATTGCTGATATGTAGTTTTGTTGGCATTTTTTTATTATTTTTAACATACAATTGAAGGTCGTGATGTCTTCCTACGCTCAAAATGCCCTGTGGATACCTGCGAACTGACATCGAATCGTGGTCTCGCCGACAAGGCCGATATGATACTATATAAAGATCATTTCATACCGACTGGCCTGGGTAGACCAGCGAACCCGCAGCAGGTCAGCATGTTGTATTATCTGGAATGTCCATATCATACGCAAAACGTGAAAGTACCAGACGCCATTAATTGGACGGCCACCTACAGGTAAACTCGTTTCAAATTTTTTCTCCACTTACCGCTGACTATTAGCTTATGCATCGTGCTTGCGTTTAATTGTAGACATGACAGCGACATTGTAGCGCCTTATGAGAAATGGGTCTACTATGACCCGAAAATCAAACAAGTGGAGCAGGATCACAATTATGCCATGAATAAAACGAAAAAAGTCGCTTGGTTTGTGTCGAATTGTGGCGCACGGAATGGACGCTTGCAATTCGCGCATGAATTGCAAAAATACATAGATGTAAGTATCTGATATAATTTATGCTAAATAAGAAGAAACAGGTTCGAAAGAGCAGACAAGTCACCTAAGCCAAACTTCCTCATAGACTTCACCAACAATTGGGAAACGTTTTATTTAGCACTGCCATAGAAGTTGACGCCATTGTTTAACGCCGGTCGTTATTCAATCGGTGTTCACGGGGTTAAATATCTTACCCGATTCCAATTGTAGAAAGTACTTAGCGAAATACAAAATAGAAATGTCTCACTCTTAACTTCCCGCTTTTGCGTGAACAAGGCTAAAACAACGCGAATCGTACATATTTAGACATCCAGCGGCGCTTTCAAGCATGGAAACAAAATTTTTAAACGGATTTGTGATGGGTTCAAGGCGATTGGTCGATATATAAGTTCTAATTATAGCGTGCTTTTCAGTCTTTACACAAGGCTGTCTATAGCAGTTCAAGTGCGATCTCAATCTTGGAGATCAGCCATAAAACCTAACTCAGCATTCATAAAATGCCGACGCTCCAAAGCTATCATCTCTTAGTCGTCACAAGTAGCAACCAAGTGTATTTTAGAGCGAATAGTTTATCGTACTTACAGCCTGAAAGCGCTTAGAAACTTTACTTAAGAACTGTATATTGTAGAGATTAACCTTCTCAAGCATATTGCTCCACAATCATTAGTAACTACTTAAACTTGCATATACATACTGCAGCTTAATCTATTTTAGAGTTATGTCTTATTGATCACTATTAATTCTACTATTTTTCTTGTTTATCCCACACCCGACTTCATCTCATCTCTTGTGTATCCATCATCGTGCATTTATGTAGGTACACATCTACGGCGTTTGCGGCAACTACAAATGCTCACGCAACACCGCCGACAAATGCTTCGATCTACTCGATCACGAATACAAATTTTACCTCGCCTTCGAGAATTCCAATTGCAAAGACTACATCACCGAAAAGTTCTTCGTCAACGCACTACAACGCAATGTTTTACCAATTGTAATGGGTGCACGTCCGGAGGATTATGAGGTGAGCTCACCACATCGTTCCTACATTCATGTCGATGAATTCGCCTCGCCCAAAGAATTAGCCGAATACTTGCACATACTCGACAAAGACGACGAACTCTACAATTCGTATTTCAAATGGAAGGGCAGCGGTGAGTTTATCAACACGTACTATTGGTGTCGCGTTTGTGCCGCACTGCATGACGAGGAGTCATTACGTAAACCGCGCTGGTACACGGACGTAAATGATTGGTGGCGTGGTCCCGGCGTCTGTACCAACGGTTCGTGGCGTAATTTTAAGGCGCGCAAGGATGTCATACGCGACGATTAGTGACGACTGCCGTTGGGTTATTGGCTGGCAATTGCAAGCATTGTTATTGAATATGTTAAGTAATAGTTTAAGGTCTCTTTATAACAAAAAAAAACACAATACAAAAACAAAAACAAAAACCACATAAATAATACCGAATTGCTTAGTAGATGGAATGCGTGCGGTGTGAACGTGTGTGCATGATTATACACATACATACATATATGCAAGCGTATATGTGTGTGTGTGTGTGTGTGTGTGTGCGTGAGTGTTTGTTGATATGATGCACAATGCGACGGACTCAGCAGCAGCGGCTAGTTGATTTTGGCGCTAGTCAGCTGTTGGCGGCACGTTTTTCAATAAAAACAAAGCATACACACAAGCAACATATGAACATAAATATACATACAAACAATTTATAAAAAAAAAAAAAAAAACAATTTATAAAAAAAATTAAAATATAACAAAAATTTGCTTACTTGCATTAGATAAAGATTGCATAAAGATTGTAGCAATTAATATTTGTAGCAACATTTTGTACACATACATACATGTATGTGTATGTGCACATGGTTATGCGCTTATGTAGAACTAAAGGCAAAAATTATCGCGTAATAGAAACCACGTAATTTTCGGATTTTTGTTTAATTCAATTTTTTTGCAAGCAAATAAATTTTATTAATGATTTACACAACAAATTAAACCAAATTACGTACATACATACACTTGATAACACGCACGCATTCATACATATTTCCGTACCTACAGATGTATGTACAAGTATGTATGTATGCAGAAAGATATGTCGCATTGCGCTTTGTTTTTACCCATAAGAACAACATTTGTGCCGATTTTGCTGAAATTAAAAATTTTGCTTACCGAAATCGCGCATACAACTATACACATACATACATACAAACATACACTTGCTTATACTTATAAGTCACGTGTGTTTAGCTTGTAAGCAAATTATACGCTAAGTTAGGCAATTTTTTTATAGATGTGCGTAAGAAAAAATATCTCAATTACACAATAGCAATATGTATTTGTAAAATAGCATATATACACGCACATACATTTAGGATAAGTATAAATGCGCATAGTTACATACATATGTATGTAAATAGCTATGCACATATTGCAAAAAATACACATATGTGCATATGTTTTTGTGTTAGCGAGTATTGAAAACGTATCATACAAAGGTCGTGAAAATTCCAAAAAAAAAAAAAAATCAAAAAAAAAATATTAAAAAAAAAATTTTTTAAAAAAATGAGTACAAAAAAATGTATCAACAAAAATTCAAAATTTCTGAAAACTGAGTTAATTTTTAAGTGAGCATAAGATAATTTTTACATTTATACTCAAAAATTATAAAAACCGCCACCACATTTTAACTTAAACCCATACAAAACACAAATACATACATACAAGTAAGTTGTATTAGTTTGTAGGCAAAGTGTGCGTGTTTAAAAGAGTGTGAACGTTATTTTGCATGTGTAGTAGTTATCGCTTGTGCGTGTATGTATGTGTGCATATGAATCTTCCAACGATAAATAATACCCAGTTCCATGCATACCACTAACAAAGCAGTAATGACGGCGTCAAGCGCTTATAATTGTCGCAGAAAATTTTTTGTAAGTTTTAATCAACAAATTAACGCCAAAGTGAATCCAATGAATCTAATTATTTGTAATATTTAACTTTTTAAGTTTGATCGAAAACTACTTTATCAGCCTTTATGGTCACTGCACGAGCGCGTGAAGAGATCGAAAACAATTCCTTTGCAAACATTTTTTTTGCAGATTTTTTTCCTCAACAATTCACTACAAATATCTGCGCGCCCGGGTTTTCGCCCTACGCGCCTGATTACAGTTATTCCGATTCTAGTTGCCGTCGGCGCTTAAATCTATATAGAACTGCACATAAGCTTAAAAAATCGGCATTTCATGTTACCTTTAACGGTATCCTATGCAACATTATTTTTAAAGTAACATAAATGTAAATCATTTACGCAGTTCAATTTTGTGTCGGTCTATTTTTAAGATTTTGTATATTTTTCATAATGAAAAAGTGAAATTTGGAGTTTGTAATTTATATACAATATTAGTTTTTAGTATTTCAGCAATATGAAATCTTTATTAGATGATATACGACCTATGTATATCTGCATGAAAAGAAGAAGCGATGCTTCAACATTTTTGAAAAGAATTTAAATTTGATGAACAAAAAGAAATAATCGAAACATTGTAGTGATTTTAGAACTTAGATTTTGCTGAGTCTACATAAGTACGGCTTATACGAAGCTCGCTTGTTGTTGTTATTGTTGCAGCGACAGAAAACATTTGCCAAATAGTTTCAGGAACCGTTTAAACGACAGGCGGATCTACGTAAACGAAACGGAATTGCATTTTTAAACGACTAAAGACTAACAACGTGAAGATCGCTCTATCTCAGCAGCCGCTTCGTTTTTCGAACACAATCTGATATTTTAACTAATTTCAAGAAAAGATAGATAAAAACTTATAAGATATAGTTTTTCATAACAAAAACATTTCATGTACAGTAAAACCTTCTTCTGACTGCTGAGTTTTTTCCTATTATAATTATTATTTTTTTTAATAATATTTATTGTTATTATTATTATTATTTTTTAAATATTATTATTATTATTATTATTTGTATTATTATTAGTTTGTAGGCATGGCACTTTAACCCTTTCTGATTCTGATATATATTGCTTGGACCACAAATAATTTTAAAAGCTTGCAAGTGATGATGTGAGCCAATAAAATTCTCTTATTGTTGTTGTAACACCAGATTTACAAAATAATAATTAATAAATAATTTCAGAAAAATAACCACACTGATAATTTTAATTCTTTTAACAATAATTATATTAAAATAATATGTTTAACTTTTTTGTAAATAATTTACATACATAAGTATATATTAATTTTTATACAAATATTATATATATTTATGTCTACATATGTATATGTTTCCTTATGTGTGTTTACTTATATAACAAGCTCTAAACCGGTAAACATTAACTCGCAACCACCACATAACTGTAATTTGCATACACACACACACACACATGCATACAAACATAAAATAGCTAATATTCAAAACAAAAATATTGTAAAAAGGGACAAAAATATATAAGCAACGCGTTTATTGTAACAAAAATGCCATTTCAAACCGTTATAGGCGCTTTTCATTGTTAAACACACATACATACGACACGCATGCATAAGCAACACAAAACAATCAGTAAACACAAATTCCTATTTTCTTTGTCGCTTTGTTAAGTTAATGTTTACACAACTTACAATCTATTATATCTGACAATATTATACACGTACATACATACAAACGCACATACTTACATATTTAACTAAAACCATGTACGAAGAGTTGATTGTATGTGTGCATCCGCACAAATCTGTGTTTATATTTGTGATTTATTAAATATAAATGCAGTTCGCAGATAATTCGACAATTTTTTGGTTTCGAATAACAAATTTGTATGAACATTTTTACTTTCGTTTATATAAAAAGCAATATTTTTAAGCATTTATTTAATTGTAATATTATTTTACTGTGATAAATATTACGTAAATTACCAAAGGATGTAAAAATTAGCGAGAGATAATGCTGAATAAAATAAATCAAAGCAAGCAGTTGCGTATTAATATTCTAAGAAAAGCGAGCAAAATAATCATAAAATTAGAAAATAATAAAAATACGACTTTATAAAATGTTTTGGAAATTAATTCAAATATTTTGAGAGGTTATGAGAGTTAAAACAAAAGCTGATTTACAAAAACACACGTGCATTTCTTATAGTATAAAAGCGTATAAAATTCTCCTTTTCTTGATTTTAACCGCTATGAATATATGGTATAGTGGTCCGATATTGGCGGTTCTGACAAGTGATGTGATTTAAAAGTCATGAGCCAGCTGGTTTTATATAAGTAAAGCAGGCACCGTGCCTGGCCAGCGCTTGGGTGACTCTCGCGCGTCGATGTGATGTGATTTGAAAGTCACGAGGTGACCTCACCGGAAGTTGGCTGCCATCTGGCTCTATATAAGTAAAGCAGGCACCGTGCCTGGCCTGAGCATAGGTGACTCTTACGTCTCGATGTGATGTGATTTGAAAGTCACGAGGTGACCTCACGCGAAGTTGGCTACCATCTGGCTCTATATAAGTAAAGCAGCAACCGTGCTTGGCCAGTGCTTAGGTGACTCTCGCGTGTCGTTGTGATGTGATTTGAAAGTCACGAGGTGATCTCACTTAATTTTTAGGTTACTAACGTGCTTCGTTGTCACAAACATTTGTCTGATTTCGTTAACTTTCAATTCGCTCACATTGTTGATAAAAAAAAACAAGAAAAAACGTTGACTTTGGTTACACCGTACCTAAAATACCCTTCCCAAATACAAAAGGTCTCTTACAAGAACTTGAGTTTAAACACTCAGTTGGTATGTCAGCTATATGCTTTAGTAGTCCAATATCGGCGGTTCCGACTTGCAGCTTCTTGAGGAGAAAATAAGGTGTGCAAAGCTACAAATCGATATCTTAAAAACTAAGGGACTAGTTCGCATATGGGGCCGTACATATATTACGTCATTCTAAATTAAGGGGGGGGGGTCTAAAATCTGAAAAAATCGATGACGTAATTTATGGACGGCCCCTATATGCATACGACTTAGGTTCGCCGACGCTTCCTTCTGGGTGCTGCAAACTTCGTGGCAAACTAAATATACATTGTTCAGGGTATAAAAAGTGAAAAGTGGTCATGATCTTGCCCTCTGATCGGTTTAATGTCGCTCTTAAACTACTTTCTCGCTCTCTTTATCTCTTTAACTACTACAGCTATTGTAGCAAAATTTGGTGGAAAGTATTTTACCACTTGATTCAACAACGTGCAATCGGAATATATCGTCAAATGACCAGCCCAACTTCCTCATACCAGTATTATTAAACACGACTAAGCTTTTGATAACTTGAAAAAAAAACAAAAACAGAAATATAAACTCGATTTTGCTTTTAAAAAATACAAATTGGACCACAAGAAAATTTTTTCTAATATTATAACTTTTATTAAATTTTCAAAAACTTACCGTTTCGCGAATTACATGTCTACGTCTGTTCGTCAATTTATGCATAATCATAACTCGTATTCATATTCATGGAATTATAGCTTCTTTTCGGTATGTATTTATATTTTTAAAAAGTTCGTATACATAGAAGTGCATATGGTAAGGTAAACAAACAAAAAACATTCCAGCACAAAACAAAAACAAATAGTTCAAACTTGACAAGCTTTTAGCTGCAAAAGTAAATTTTTAATTTCTTTAAGATCGTTGCATTTGTTGCCACCGGCGCCAGCAACAACTTTAGACAAGACTTTACGTTTCAAAGCTATAGCCTCCACGCGTTTAGAAAGCTGAAAGTTCTAATATTAGTCGACACAAACAGAAAAGTATAAAAAATGCCAACTCACCGCATAAGCACGCTTTATAATCAGTTGTGGCATGCCGGCCAATTTGGCGGCATTAAAACCATACGACTTGGGACATGCGCCTGCGGTGTATTTGTAAAGAAATGTCACCGTCTCTTGTGTGGGATCTTCGGTATCCTCGTTTTCCACCATGCAAGCCTACAAGTGACCGTGGTGAAAAAGATTAAGTGTTGAAAACAAATGAATTGTAGTAATTATAGCGATATATGTAACTTACCATGTGACCCAATGTTATGCGTTCGTCTTTATGGAAATATTCAATAAGATTGTGATAGTGCGTGGAGAAAAGTGTACGACATTTCAAATCTGCGAGATAGTTGACTACCGAAGCAGCGATAGCAGTACCATCGTATGTGGCTGTGCCACGTCCTGTTTCAATGCAAATATACAAGCAATTTCTATTATTTCCAGCTGCATATTATAAATTATTACTGTAAACTTTACCTAATTCATCAAGCAGCACCAAACTGTTAACCGTTGCATGCTTCAATATCAGCGACGTCTCATTTAGTTCAACCAAAAATGTGCTCTGCCCAGCCATAATGTCATCCTGCGCACCCAAGCGTGTAAAAATACGATCGACCAGCGAAATGCGACAATGCTCGGCTGGCACATGCGCGCCCTTGAAGTTGAATAATAAACACAATTTTCAAAAATTACAATGCATATCAAACTTACGATTTGTGACATTACAACTAACAAGCCCACTTGCCGCATTAGCGTACTCTTACCACCCATATTCGGGCCTGTTAGTATGGAAAGTGGTGCTGTTGTCGCACCGGTGCCTAGAATGAGCCCATTCGGTATGAAAGTGTCCGCAGCGGCGCACGGATGATAACCCTCTGCAATGTCTATAAACGGCTGCTTATCGGCACTTTGCTCGTATAGCTCAGGCACACAGATGACTTGCTGTGCGCGTGCGTACTCTGCCAACGAGGCTAAAACATCAAGATTGGCAACACAATCAACGCATTGCTTCCAGAGTTCATAGTGTTTGGAGAATTTTTCAAAAATACGACGCGATAAATCTTTTAGTATGACATCACGTTCGGTTTCGGCATGTTGCAATTGCTTTAAAAGTGACTGCAATATTCAATAGATGTGGTAAGTATATACTGGTCACAAAAATTGCGGTGTTTAATTGTGCACATAGTAACCTACACGTGTTTCATTCGTTGAGAAGCGTCTCACAGGCTTGTTACCCTTCCGTTGACCTTCCAATTGGTAGGCTTTACCCGCCTTCCTAGCTGCATTTTCAGGCACCTCAAGCTGGAAGCGATTCTTTTCGCCACCAGGTGTTAAACGACAGCCAAAGAACTTCTCTTGCTCAATAAGATAATCCTTGAAGGTGTCATTTATGTTTTTAATCTTCGCTAATGCCTCATCGTAATCTGCGTCCACGCCTTGTTCAGGTGCAATTACACCGGTTTGCGCACTGGTCTCGTGATCGAAAGCATTCTGTTTGGCAGATGTTAGAATTTACATTCATAAAACTGAACTAAACAAGAAAAAACGTTAACTTCGGTTACACCGAAGCTATAATACCCTTCATAAATACAAAAAATTCTTTAGAAGAACTTGATTCCGATTATTTAGTTTGTATGGCAGCTATATGCTATAGTGATCCGATCTGAACAATTTCTTCGGAGATTGCATTATTGTTTTAGGTCATAACTCATGCTAAATTTCGTGAAGATATCTCATCAAATAAAAAAGATTTCCATACAAGCACTTTATTTCGATCGTTCAGTTTGTATGGCAGCTATAAGCTATAGTGGTCCGATATCGACGGCTCCGACATATGAGCAGCTTCTTGGGGACAAAAGAACATGTGCCAAATTTCATATCGATATTTTAAAAACTGACAGACAGACAGACGGACAGACGTACATGACTAAAACGACTCAGCTCATCACGCTGATCATTTAGATATATATTTTCTAGGGTCTCCGGCGTTTCCTTCTGGGTGTTACAAACCCAGTGGTCAACTTAATATACTCTATTCGGGGAATAAAAAATGTTTCATGCACATATTGTACCTTGAAAAATTCTAATTCTTTTGCCATGTCAGGAAAGCCTCCAGCTGGCTGCAACTGCGTCAAACGTTTCATAAGTGGCGACTCAAAACCGTTAAAAAGCGTTGGCAATTCCATTAGCGCTGCGAATCCCTTCAATATGCCAATAAAGTTTTGTATTTTTTTCTTATTATACAACTTCTCTTCAAATAGTATAGCACGTCCGTCCGGGTGATCTTGCGATATACGCTTATTACCGAATAAATGTATTTGCGCCAGATGTCTTTCGAAATCAGGCATTGGCGCCAACAAAGCGCGTAAATCTTGCAACGCCATATTGTGCTCTATTAGTTCGGTAATCGCTTGTTGTCGTTCGACAATCACCTCTAACTCACAGCTTGGCGAACATATCCAATGATGCAGCAAACGTTTGCCAAACTTCGTACAACAATTATCTAGTGTAGATTGTAGTGAATACTCTTCGCCGGTAATACGTAGATTGGCAAGCGTCGTAGCATCTATGACCATATGGCGGCGCCGAGCGGCTTTTTGCTGCACTGCTTGTCCCTTTGCATCATTTAACGACTCATTCAATATGTCTGGTGGAGTGTAGAGGTGGTAGCGTGCCATCGACAGCACCTTTTCTTCTAGTTGACAACGTTGCAAATATAATATGCATTGACCCAGCGCTTTTAATGCTAGCTTGCAGTCATCACGCGGCGTTAAACCCAAATGATCAGTTTCGGATTGCATTGTACGCAACGCTAATGGCCAAAGATCTGCACTAGTTGAGTCTTCTGAAAATTTGGCAAAATAATTCTCAGCGAGATATTTCAGTGTCTTTTCAGCACTGCATACTTTTGAGCCATTGGCAGGTAATGGATCTTTGAGTATGCCGGAAAGCATGGTACGGAATATTTCCTGTGTTCGCTCAGAAACAGAGCCACGTTCAAAAATTAACTAGAAATGTAGTGAGCAGTTATATTAATTAATTTTATTACAAATCCAGTTATTTTCATTAGCATACCAAAACTGGCATATGATGCGAGAGTAAAGTTAATAAACGCGAACCGTTTTTGTCATCTTCAAATTCGCCAGTATAAAAGTCGCCTATTGAAGTGTCTACATAACAAATGCCATATTTACTGGAGTTGACCTCATTCTATCAAAAAATAAAAATAAAATAGCAAATAAATAAAACCAAAATTGAATAAGAAA